TTCAAGCTGCAGGAGCTGGATGGTAGGGAGGAGCAGTTTCAGATGGAGGTGGAAATGGAGCTGGCGCAGTGAACCACGAAATGAGCAAAAATTCAAATATTTTTCAAATTAAACTTAAAAACACTTGACTTTGCTAAGCGGCATACAGCTTTTTGTTAGCCAAAACGGTTTTTACACTTGACTTCAAATCGCTCAAAGGCAACGACCAATGCCAACTCCAACGCGTTCGGACCAGCACAAAAAGAAAAAAGAAAGTGTATATATATAGGTCGGTAGTTGAGGGGGCGTTCCACGAGAATTGGCGGGTTACGCATCAAAAGCCCTATGAAAAATGACCAAAGCTGGCAGCGCCAAATTGAAAGCAAGAAAAAATATGGCTGAAATGTTGCTTTTTCAAACGGCCAAATAGCCAAATAGCCAAACTCCTGCTCTCTCTCTGTCCCGCTGTCGATGGCCATGTTGTTGGTGTTGGTTTTGGTGTTGGTGTTGGCGATGACGATGACGATGACGATGACGATGATGATGACTGCGCTTGGATAGCCCCATCCCTGTGCCCGCCGCCGTCCCCTTGGTACCGTCCATGATGAATGCGCCCAGTAAGACCCTCAAAGCGATAGCAAAGCGGGGGACGCGCTAACATTCCGCGTCCGCAGCCCAAATGAAATTGGAAAATGTGCCGGCAAGCGAAAAGAAAATATGAGCAGTCGGTGCAGACGGATGGCCATAATGGCCACCGAAATGAAAAATAGTCAAGCTGAACCCGGAACGCCGAACGCTGAACGCTGAACTGCGAAACGGCGAACGCAAACAATTTGAGCAGCCATCGATACGCAGCGGCGACCGTTTGAAAAATAATTTTTATGCGTTTATGGTTTATGCGGCTCAAAGTGCGCCCATATGAATTACGAGCCCCAAAGCCCAATGCCCCACACCAGACCGGCCCGTATCCACTGGGATGAATTGTCAGTGGGCCAGCAATTTATTGCCGCTTCGACGCACGCCAAATGAATATTGGCCACGCCAAAAGTGGGCCGAGTGCCAGCGCAGCCAACTATTGCCAATATTTGTACTTCGTGTTTGGGTTCGCCGCAAATTAAAAAATCACAAAAACAAAGTAGACCCAAAAATACAATCATTCTCAATTTGACAATCTGACAGAGTGGAGTATTAGCTTGAGAGTTCACACAATTTAAGCTGTATATAATTAGGCTGCATTCGGTTGGGATCACAACTCAGCATAAACATTGGATGAGGCTGGCGCAGAGCAGACAAATCGCACCAAAAGCCTAATTATAAACAAAAGCAAAAATCATATTTCGCAAGTTAAACAAAGCAAATGCGAGTGCGAAAATAATAAACAGACAACGACAATGCAGCTCAGCGGGCAAACTCCCACAGAACCAAGCTCAAATCGCGCTGTTTGGCCACGACGAAGTTAATATGTTCGGATCGGCCTCTATATGGGAGTGCAGCGCAAAGTTGACATGAAGCAAACAGAGCGTTTTATTCATAGCATTCAATGAGAGAAATGCTGCCCAAAACTGAATTGTGCACACGCTGCGCCACTTCACATACAAAAACACACACACACACACACACACACACACACATACAACACACAGGGACTGCTGTCTGTCGGGCAGACAGCGTGTCTGTCAGTGCTGCTGCTACAACTGGAACTGGGAAGCGAGAACGGGTATCGGGAACGGGAGTCGGGAGTCGGGGATCGGCATTTGAGATCAGGGCTGTTGACACAAGTCCGCACACCGGGCAGGAACTAATTTGGCAGAAGCCAGCGAGCGAGCGAGCGAGCGAGCGAGTTTCTGAAATCTAAACATCTGCAAAATTACGCGCATAAATCCTTTAACACTTTTGTTTTTGGACGCTGGGACTGAGTCGCCCTGGACTTGGGGGTTGCGCTCGCCACGCAGGGGCTCGTCAAATTAGCCCACTTCAGGCCGTGGCATGCAGCGTGCTCATAGCGGGTGCAACTACTGCAACGCAGCCTTTGTTTACACACTTTACAAGGACTGGCAGTGTCCTCTTCTCCTATTTATTCTACTTATATTTCTTTCTCCTTTGCCTGGCCAGCAATCAGCGCGCGTGTTACTCATGGATCTGCTCTACTCCTGCGCGTCGTCAGATGCTGCAGCTGCAGTTGTTATTGTTGCCAAGACGTTGGCTGCCCATCAAAGTAAAAATAACTTGGCCTACGCCTGGAGTGGGTCGTGCGTCTTGGCAAARCAAACAAACAAAAGCAATGACACCACCCACCCCAACCGAGAGCGGCCTTCTACTTGACTGCCCCTCAATGGGCATGTGGAGGTGAATGAATAGTTGCCTAGGTCGTAGAGCCAGCCCCTAATGACCCCTATCTCTCGTTGGCTCAATGCCTCAATGCCCCGATGCCTAATCATATATCGATGAGTCCTTGCTTGGCTCTGCTCCGTTTGCTGCTTGATTTCACACACAAATGCCACGAGGTGGTCCTGGGTCTTCTTCACTCTGCTCTCCACTCCATGCTGCGTGCATCCTTGGGCACATTTTCAAGCCGTCTTTGTGGCTGCCAGTGGCTTCTTATTTTTTTACCACTTTCCATTCTCGGTCTGGCAGTTTACTTGTTCTTGATGCCTCTTTAGCGCTTATCATGCTCAAATGGTAATTGAAGTGCCACACAAAAACTATTTATCCTCGGGCTGTCGAGCGTGCTCTGCTGATGTTGTTGTTGTTCTTGTTGTTGCTGTTCTTGTGGTTATTTAATATTACTCTGCACACAATGCTACCACTCACACACACACACACTCACACAGTCATATATATAATGCGTGCAATGAGGCTCGCGCTACCCTTTGCCGTTTTTTATGTTTCTTGTTTTTAGATATTTTATTAAATTTGTTTCTAGTACCCAAACATTTGGCTTGGCCACAATCGATCCTGTTCCGCTCGATGCCTGTGACATTTTCCACTCCTTGCCCATTGTCAACTTGATTTCATTACCTCTGCCGCTTCTGCCGTCCTCATCATTACGGCTACCTATTCGGAAAGGTTGGTTTTTGTGTGTATTTGGCGAGGGTATTATTCGATTGTTGCTAGGGCTAATTGAATTGTCGCGCTGATTCGTATCTCTGGCTGATATGGAATGAGTCAAAACGTATATTTATGTCTATATGAGTCAGTTAATCTTTATGGCACACCGTAAATAATAATTCGCAGCTTTTGGCTACGATAAATGCATGGTTAAGGGAAGATCTTGGTCTGAGTTATACACACACACACACACACACACACACACACACCCCCCCCCCCCCCCAAAAAAAAAGTAGTAATAATAGGCAATAAAATTGCACATGTGAGTATGGACTTTGATACAGATTACCAACGTGAATAACTTTGAAGTGAATAGCGTAACAGGACTAGGCAAATATTTTGAATGAGCTGCAAAGGAACTTAGTCACAGCATTAAAAAGCTTTGAATATCTCTGGGAAAATTATAAAACCCTACTATGGCCTGATTCAATGGCATTAACAGTTTCTCTGGCATACCCTACATTGGCAGCAGTTACAACAGGCAGCAGCAGGCGGGCAGCAGTGTGGATAGAACAAGAAAAAGACGTTAAGTTTTGTGCAAAATCGCCATAGCCAAAGCCCAGTCTTAAGCCAAAAGCCAACTAGAAGTTACCAAAAGCAGAAAACAAAAGAAGAAAGCCAAAGCCAAAGCCAAGGCAACGGTAGAGGCAGCAACAGCAGCTGAAGTAGAGCCAAACTTTTGTGCACAGCGCCATGTTTGGTTTGTCTTGGCAGTTTCCGCCATCTCCTTTTTCTCGTTTTTGTTGTTGCCTCGGCTTTCTTTTTGTGTTCAGCCTGCAAGTCGCTCTCTGTGTGTGTGTGTGTGTAAGTGGGTGAGCCAGTGCGACAGCAAGGAGCCAAAGCTGGTCGACTGCTCGACTGACAGTTTGCTGCGTTTTTGTGAGCATTCAACTATACAGAGTGCCGCTAGCTTTGTCTCAGAGCAATGCCTCGACTCTGCCCATTTGCAACACCCTGTTGCAACACTGGCATTGCTGTTGCCCAACTTGTGCAGCCAAACAAAAAGTAGAAAGCAAATGGCAAAAAAGACAAGGCCGCCGTTAGCAGCATGTATTTGGTCCACTCAAAGCAGCAGCAGCAGCAGCAGCAGCAGCAGCAGCGGCAACAGCGCAAAAAAAGAAAAAAGCCATAAGAAATGGCCAATGCAGCGTGCAACGAACACACCAAAGTTGCCGCGACTCTAAGTATGTCTTTGTGCGCAATCAGCAAACACCAAACGGCAAACACCAAACACCCAAGCACCACAGCCACCACCATCGCCGCTAGCGTCCGACCAACCGCCCAGCTGAGAACTTTGCTAGAAATTTATGCCAAGACGATAAAAAAAAAAAAAAATACAAAAAAATAAAAAATAAAAGTTCAAGTCGGTGGCTGATGACGGCTGCGACAACGACAACGGTAAAGGCAACAGCAACAACAACAGCAACAGCAACGACGACGACAACAACAGCAACGATTCATGCAATTCCCCTGTGTAAGGGCTTCGACGGCATGCGCACCAGGGAAAATGGTTGCCGGGGAAGCGGCCAGCCAATCAGAGAGTCGCTGAGGTGTGGCCTCTGCGAGCGAAGGGAAATTACGCATGAGTAAATTTCCCTCGCTGCTAATAATCACTTGAGACATGCGCAGTGCGCGGCAGGGGCACAGGGTTTGGGGGTTGGACATTGGCTGGCCGTGTTGCATGCAACCCTTCGCGTGCACTGGGAATTTCCCAGACTCATTCTCATTCTCATTCTCATTCTCAGTCGCTGCCGTTGCCGTTGCCGTTGCTTTTGTAAACATGCGCAGGCGCAATGCCCGCAGCTCGCCGAATGCGTGTGAGTGAGTGTGCTGTGCTGTGTGCGGGGGTACATTTTAGGCTGGGACTTTTAGCCGCCGCAGTCAGCAGTCGGCATCGAGCACTGGAGGCAAAGTGAAATGCTTTGATTTCGCTGATTGTTCGATCACACGCAAACTGACAGCGGACTCAGCTGGTTGTCAGCGCGCTAGCCACAGCAACTGGCAGATAGAAGTATTCAACTCGTGCAAGTGTTCGTGTTTAGAGTGCAGCATCCTATATATAGAGATTACATGTGATTTGAGGCACCCACTCATTCGAATTGAAAGCAATTGCAAATCGAACTGAACTGAACCGAAAACAAAAGGAACAACAGTGCGCGCGTCTAATTGTGTCAATAAAATGTTGGAGTTTTATCCAATGCCCACGAACCTCAATCAAGTCGGTGGCAGTTTATATTCGCTGCAGCAGAACCATGGAGGCGCACGTTTCCTGGACAGTCCCAGTGCAACGGCAAATGTAAACAGCAACATGACGACCGCCTGTTTGCCCAACAGCAACAGCAGCAGCAACAACAGCAGCAACAGCAATAGCAGCAACAACAATAACAATGCCCATAATAACACAAACAACAGCAACAGCAATTTGGCAGCAAACATTTCCGGCAACAGCAACAGCAACAATCCGGCAGCAACAGCTTCATTAACGGCATCTGTAATTTCCTCACAACAACAACAGCAACACCAACAGCAGCAACAACACCAACAACAGCARCAGCAGCAGCACGCGGTCTCGCCAACGCCAATTAACAGCTGCCCAACGCCCACAGGTCACAGTCCCATCAACAGCAACAACAACAATAACAACAACAACAACAATAATAACAACAGCAAGAGCCAAAACTCCGCCTGCAACACATTAACAGCTGCTGCTGCTGCCGCAACAACAGCAACAGCAGCCGTCTCTGCCCCATCGTCAGCAGCAACTGGAAGTGGAGCCACGGCAGCCTCGGCAGCAGCGGCAGCGGCGACGGCGTCGGCTCTGGCGCTGGCGTCAGCATCGAAATTGTCTGCCGATTGCAGTGGACGCACAGGTATGTTCCAAAAGTATTTTGCACCGGCAGTTGAGGCATTTACCGGCTCGTTCCGTTTCCGTTGGGGGCTGCCACGTTTTTCGTTTTTGGCATAGTTGTGTGTGCTGCCTGGCGTGTGGGGCATGGCCAGATTCTGGCAGCCGGCTGGCTTGATGCTGGTGCGTTGGGGCATGCAGGCGTTGCTCGAAGACCCGAGCCCAATGTGCTTGGCTCTACGTCTAACGTGTTCAACTTACGGCTAGTTTGCATTACTGGCCCGCACGGCCCCACACCCGGCCGCTCTCAAACTTGGCCCAAATTATTTTCGCAATTTGCGTGTGATATTCTAGGTTTTGGGGCTGCGTCTCGCATTTGCCGCTGATGTGGCTGACGCTTCGAAGCCTTTAATTCACTTTCAGTTTGAGTTCATCAAAGGATGATTTTGTAAATCTATCTGCCAAAGCTTGGAAATATGAAAAACTCGTAATAAAATTCATTGAGAAGTAAAATTTAATTTTGTAGACAATTTTATAACTGCAAAATAAAGGCAATAAATACATTTAAATTTTAAGTGCATAAAATTTCTTCTCCTTATACCTTAAGAAAAAAGGAAACGCACTTTAAAATGCTGAATAAGTGATTACCAAAAGAAGAATAGCAATCAAACAATTTGGAGCATATTTAATATATATATCATTGTGAATTGGCTATGAGAAATTCGAATTGCATTCGGGAACGTTATCAAATAAAAACACATAAACCGAAATTGTGGCCAGGGCATAACCAAATAAAATTTAATTGATTTGCAACAGACATACAAATGAAGCTTTGAGGCTGCAGCAAATGAATGATAATAACAATTGTTTGTTCCGACGGCAAAAGCATAACCAAAACTATGAACGCAAGTTGACCACAAAATAATTTTGACAATGAACCAGGCTGACATGCACACACACAAACACACACACTGTGCTTGTGCGTGTGTGCATGCGACCAATGAAAGGCGATTAAGGCATGCAACAGACTCGCATACACACACACACAGAGAGTCCCACACACACACACACACACACACAGAGCCACCCACTCATTGCAGGCGCCTCGAAGTAGGCAACACTTTTTAGCAGCTGCAACGAAAGTGTTGCTGGCAAACTTTACGAAATTCTGGCCAAAATGCAAAGTGTGCAAACAATGTGTGCATGCATATGCGAACCCGGACCCCAAGCTGGGCGAGCTCTGTCAAGCACGCAAATATTTCGCCACACACACACACACACCCACACACACAGACACGGCTGTGATGTTGGACGAGCTAGCTTTATGCTCGTATTTGCATATGAAATGTCTATTAATGCCTGGCTAAAATGGCAGCAAATAGTTTCCGTCTGCCAATCACTTTACTGTCAGACTTGAGCATTGCTCATCTATGAATTTGAATGTGAATTTGAATTTGATTTTGACGCCAAAAACCAAACCAAAAACCAAAGTCAAACTGCAGCTGAAGTAGCAGTGGCAGCTGCAAATGGCTGTGGAATTTCCAGCCGCTTGGCAGCCCCCAACTTCGGAAATGAAAACTCTCGAGAGCTGGCAGACTGAGGAGTTTGCAGTCAGCTAGCTACACCACCTGGCCCGCCTGTCAGCCTCGAGCTGACACTAATGTCAGCCACGTCAGTTAGTGTGTGACATATGCATAGCTGGCAGTTTCGCCTGGCTGGAGTTGGGCTGGGCGAGCTTTAAATTGCGGGCGCAGTAATTAAAGCCCTCGTATCATGAGCTGTCACAGGTTGTCTGCCAAAATCTGCGTGCCACGTGGACTATTTGGCCGCGACTTGAGCCCAAAATTTATGCCACAACTTTTGCTGCTGCTGCCGTTGCCGCTCTGTCAATTTATCATCATAGACCCGCGCTCGCCTGTCAATGTGTCAATAAATGTGCCATAAAGCCGAGCTACGGGCGGAGCTGGATGGCAGTGATGGCAGCGATGGCCAGGAGTGCCTCTGTCCTAATCAGAGACGCCGTTCGCTGTCGCCGATAAGCCAAATGATAACGCGATCACAGCTGATAACAGCCCTGGGTGCTGTTCCCTATTAACTGTTTGTCAATGTTTATGGGTGCGCGCGTTTATCAACGAGTTGATTTTGGAATTATCTGCTGTTTAATCGCACCATTTGACATGAGTGTCTCGCACTTGTTTTAGCTGTGTTTGTGTTTGTATTTGCTGTTCCTTTGCCATGCCGACAAGTTTCGCCCCGACCGGGCCAAGTGCTAATCAATCAGCAGCCCCGCCGCCAGCTTCTGTTGCGCTTCCAATTGTACATTCATACGAATGCGAACAATCCAAATACATTTATGTGTTTTGTTTTTTTTTTTTTTTTCATTTCAATTTGAATATCATATGAACAGCGCGTTTTATCACATTTCACAGAAATTGTCTTTTGGCTGCAGCGGAACAGGAAAAAAACAAAAACGCAGCGCCATAAAACTGCAGCAAAGGTCATAAATTCCGATTAGATTACACAAAGCGGAGTGTCAATGGGTTTTGTTCCGCAAAAAGACAAAACACACCACAATATCGCATTCACAATAGTCCCAGGACACAGTCGAATTGCAAAAAAGGAATTGCCAAATGGGGCTTATCAAGTGATCCTAAAACCCCAGCCCAAAAAGTTGCTGCAGCAACATTTGCGCGTTAACGCCAATGCGATTTAACACACACACCCACTCACACACATATATGTAATGCAGCGCATCGGATTGCAGCTGCTTTTTTATAGCATACTTTAGAGGGCGCGCGTTATAGCAAACGATATACCAACAGCTATTCACATCCATCGCCATCATCGGAGCTGCTGCCTGTCCCATTTCCATATAGCTGCCTCCTATCGTTGCTCCTCCTGTTGTCAGTATTAACGCTGCGCTGGCTTAGCAGTCCAGGCAGTTGCACAGCCCCGGCTTTGAGCTGCTTTCGCTGCTCGCTTAGCGCCCTCCCACACACACCCACACACACACATATACACTCTCGTAGATCAGGCTGGGGGCTGCCATTGTGCCAACCATAAATCATGCACATTTTTCTGCCAGTGAGCCGCAGTCATATAATATGGGAGCAGCTCCGTTGCGTCCTCTCCCCTGACTCCGAGTCGTATATTTTTCAGTTGCTTCCAACCAACTCTCGTGGCGCTCGTCATTTCTCTTTTTATGTTTACTGCAGCTTTTGTTGTGTTTTTTCTTTCTATTTTTTCACTGCTTTTTATGACTGGTTTACAGTTTGAAGTGTGCGTGCATGTGCAGAGATTAGTCGAGTTACTCCCGCACGCATATTAATCTTCTGCACATTGCTGTTAAGCTAGGGTCTAAGCTATGTATATTTGGCTAGCTGGTTAGATGAGCCAAAATATGACCGCTAATAGTGATGCAAACGACGAGCTGATAAGGATTGGCCACGGCTAGTCATCCATTTGCATTTGGAATCAAAGACTTATATTGGATAGACTAGTCTATTACTAGCTGGCCTTCAAGTCTATGCCGCTCTACCGACCCAGGCAATCTTCACATGTTCTCATACATACCTCGAACAGCTCCTTTCAATGACTCTTTGGGGCTCATCAATTTCAGACTGGCAAAATTTTAGCAAACTTTACGTTTCAATTACGCATCAAGGAGCTATCAATACAAGCTGTTACCGCGCAGGAGATGGCGACAGCGACTGCGACAGCGACAGATAATTTTTTTCTCTCCTTTGTTTCACTTGTGACTGCCGAGCGCCAGAAGTGCGAAACAATGAGCATAACACAACAACAGAAAAAAGCAAAAACAGAAAAATAAAGAAAACATTTTCACACGATTTGACAACGTATTCGCCTCCATGCTTCATGCTTCATTCGCGTCCTGCTGATGCTTGTGCAGCGACACATGCTGCCAGCACGTAGGGGATCAGCTCTTCTTCTTCTACTTTCGGTTATGCAGTGGCAGTGGGGTAGTAAATCGATTTTATGGCTCACTAACAAGCATTTTTTTTTGTTTTTGTGATTTTCTCTTGCAGAGGTTGGCCACATCAAATGCGAGAAGAACTACGAGCTGTGCGAGGGCTGTGGGCAGAAGATCCATGATCGCTACTTGATGAACGTGGGTGATGCCAACTGGCATGAGCAGTGCCTCGCCTGCTGCTACTGTGGCATGCAGCTGCATCACACCTGCTACGTGCGCAACTCGAAGCTCTACTGTAAGCTGGACTACGATCGTCTCTTTGGGGTCAAGTGCGCCGGCTGCTGCCATGCCATACTGCCGCAGGAGCTGGTGATGCGGCCCATACCCAACTATGTATTCCATCTGCCCTGCTTCGTGTGCTACGCCTGCCGCCTGCCGCTCCAGAAGGGCGAGCAGTTCATGCTGCGGGATGGCCAGCTCTTCTGCTATCGCCACGACTTGGACAAGGAGATGTTCCTGGCGGCAGCCGCTGCCCAGCACTGCGGTTTCGTCGGCCTCGACGAGGAGGATCTGCTGCGGCCACGCGACGGCCGACGCGGACCAAAGCGACCACGCACAATTTTGACCTCTCAGCAGCGCAAACAATTCAAGGCCTCGTTCGATCAGTCGCCCAAGCCGTGTCGCAAGGTGCGCGAGGCGTTGGCCAAGGACACGGGTCTGTCGGTGCGTGTGGTACAGGTGTGGTTCCAGAACCAGCGAGCTAAGATGAAGAAAATCCAGCGCAAGGCCAAGCAGAATGGCGGTGCCACTGGTGGCTCAGGCTCAGGCCGCGGCAATAGCAGCGCCGGCGCCTCCGACGACAAGGATGCCAGCGAGAAGGATGAGAAGTGCGTGAAGCAGGAGCATGGCGTCGACAATGTCGGCTTTCTGGGCGGCATGGACAGCGCCTTCGCCAGTCAGCCGCTCAATCCGAACTTGCCCTTCTCACCGGATGGTAAGTTCAACTAATCCCCATTTCACTGTGCTCCAGTTAAGCTAATTATTGTTGCTCTCTGCAGATTATCCGGCCAACTCGAATGACAGCTTCTGCAGCTCCGACCTCTCGCTGGACGGCAGCAACTTCGACCAGCTGGACGATGACGCCGACTCGTTGTCTTTGAACAATCTGGAGCTGCAGTCGACCAGTTCGTCGGGCAATCACAACCAGCACTCGAATCCGCACGACATGCTGGCCAATCTGAATACGAGCCTTATCAACCCCATCGACAAGCTGTATCTCATGCAGAACTCGTACTTCAGCTCGGACCATTAGACAGAGACAGCTACCGAGCGAGAGCCAGAGGCAGACAGAGGCAGACGGACAGACAGAGACAGAGAGTCGTAGTCATACGAATTTATTAGCGTTAGAGTTGCGAGCATGTGTTGGTAGGCACTGTAACTCCTTGATTAACTGGCAACTGAGTCATTTCGCCAGTCGGCTTTTTTTTGTGGTGGGATAGTTGAGATTTTAAGTAAAAATGATCAAATGTGATTTTTAAGCTAAACGAAGTTTTAAGAAAATTGCATTACAACGATGTAAACGAGACGTAATGCGAGAATTATTGTTAGTTCGACTTAAGTAAATAAGTAGAGAAACCGAAAGATAAAATCAATGTGAGCCTATGTTTGTAAATAGTTTTAGAACCAAAAAATTGTTATAAAAATGTAATTTAAATTAAAACGTCAATAAATTATGTATTAGCAAGTGCAATTCAAACAGTTTGTTGTCAATATTCCTTGATAGCCCTAAGACAGTTTATAGTGGTTTATATGTCTTCAGATGTTGATTCTAGTTAACGAATTTTATGAGTAATTAATATTATTATATACATTATTATTATACAATATTAATGAGTTCTCATTCAATACTATTTTTTTCATGGCAATGCTAGAGATCCTTCAATTTTTCCACTCAGTTTACAATTTTTTCTATATGCTGCTGGCGCTCTCTAGCGGTGGTGTTTGTTATGCTCAAAAATAATTTTGCGTTTTGCACTGCTAACGCTCTCTATTGATGATGACTTTTACAATATTTTATTATTGGTGGCGCTCTCTAGGAGTAGTGAGTAATATGAAAGGCATCTCACAGCATTACATTCAGCCAACAGTAAAGCAGTGCACATTTGGCAATGACACATGGCCAATAGATGGCGATGTGCGCTGTTAACACAATTGTGGCGTCTGTTACTGCACGCTGTACAACTAGCAGCTGTTAAGTTTCTAGGGTGCCCTCAAATTTAGCTGCGCCAGTGCTGATAAGCAATTGTTGTAGACGTAAGAAGAAGCAGATTTAATAAACAATAGAAAATCTAGTAATTTGCAATGGTAAGCCGTAATATATGTGAATAATACTATTAAACTAGCAATTTCATTCCGTTTACAGCTATTCTATTCATTCTTCAAGTCGCTGGTGGGCAAAGAAGTTGTGGTCGAGCTGAAAAATGACCTAAGGTAAGTGTCGCTTTTGGCGCGTGTCAATTCATAGAAATGAAATTAAAGCCGGCAAATTTTTAGCATATGTGGTACACTGCACTCCGTGGACCAGTATCTCAATATAAAGCTGACAGACATCAGCGTCACAGATCCCGAAAAATACCCGCACATGTTGAGCGTCAAGAACTGCTTCATCCGCGGCTCCGTGGTCCGCTACGTCCAGCTGCCCGGCGACGAGGTGGACACGCAGCTCCTGCAGGACGCAGCGCGTAAGGAGGCGGTGGTTAGCACGAGATAGAACATGCCCGAAAGTCTACGGTACGAATTATATATACATATATTAAGCTGAACTTCCAAGCGCAAGAAAATCCGCCATTACGCGGTGTACATTGAGTTGTCTCTGTTTCTGACCTATCTCTAAGTGAAAAACTGTTAAGCAAAAAAAGAAAAAACAAAAATAATGCAACAAATTTAATTGAAAATAGATTATTTACTAAAAAGCAAAAACGAACTATTATATATTTGTAAAGTCCTTCGGCCCACGATATTCTATTTATGGAATATTTTAGGGGTCTTTGGTATAATGAAGGCATTCTTGTACATATGTAATACTCATACATTTGGTTTATGTACGGGTCATAAATTTTTGATGAGTCACTTGGGGCTTTCCATGCAACCTTTATATGTGAATTTTTTATGTTTTTGTTTTGATGAGCTACGAAATCATTATTGGTCTACGCATGAATGGCATTAATCGCTAAGAATTGTATTATAAAAGGCTGTTTGTACCATGGAGCAGCAGGAGAAACAAAATGTTTTTAGGTCAAAGCAAAGCAAGGACGCGTGTATTGGAATTAAGCTTCACCTACATGTCTGCTTGCGTTCCATTAAAGCTAATGATTTATGAGGTTGACTTAATTCTTGAGAAGAATTTTAAATTTCATTACTTTGATTGCTCTGCTTTGACTTAACGTCCCACCTCTTTGGGCTTTTGTCCCTGCTCATGCCATTTAATTGTCGTTTAACCTGTGTGGGCAATCGAAATACTTGAAATATGCAATCCTATTTATCACTGTGGATGCAAATGCTGTGTGACGCGTCCTAGCTGGAAGTTGTCAAGTAGAATTAGGAATTCGTTTTGCGAGAAGTGAACGTGTGGGCTAAAACAGAAAAGAGTCTCGCATTCGGGGCGGTACACACTTTATGGCATTCGAATTTGAATTTACGAGCTCACAATTGTCAACGCGATGCCTAAATATCAAGCAGATGCCTATTTAGGGAATTATTTTGTGAGATATCGTGCCATCAAATGGTGGACGTGTCACTCTGCTTTGTCCTTTGCCCGCGGCCGTTGAGGACGTAGATGTGAACGTGGCCACCACGGTGTGTCCAGCACACCTCCTGTGGAGTTTTCCGCGCGCATACACAATAAACAAACTTCGGTCAGCCATTAAACACCCTGCGTCGGCGTTAGCCCTCAGCTTTGGCTTCCGCCTGTGCCCCATCCCCAGCTATCCGCGTTTTCCATTATTTTGCTAAATTGGTTTCGACTTTTTCTTTTTTTTTTTTTTTTTTTTTTTTTGTTATCAAACAGCAGCTAAACAAAAATTTCGTAGTAAATATTTGGACGCAGTGAAGTTTTTTTGGTCGCTTCCCAGCATTTTGTTTTGCATTTGAACACGAACTTTGCAGTTATAAAAAAATATGTAGCCCACCAACTGTTCGCTGGATTGAGTTAGCTGGAGCATTTTGTCGTTTTCAGCGACTGCGCCACTTTGGGTGTGGGTAGAAATAACGAGGGATTGGGTTTCTGACTAGCCAGCCAGCCACCCATCCACCCAACCACCCAATCACCCAACTGCCGAACTGTGCTGTGCATAAAAGTGTAATATGCCTGCCGATGGGTTGGAGTTTAGCTAGATTTACGAGCCCAGGCAGACACAGGCATTGTCATAAGCATAGACATTTTAGGATTCCAGGCGCTAGTTCATCAACGTGTTGAATTGTGCGTGCTGCGTAAAAGTTTGCTCATAAAATGTTTTTGCAATGGTCTCATTCGGTTTTTATTAAAAAATAAACTATACAAATTTTACACAGATTACCTAAATTGTACAAAGGAAAACACACATATTGACAGAGATGGAGCAAATGTGCATACAAACAAACAGTTATATTATTGCCATTCGTATCACGCCGACCAGTTTAAACGGTCATTGACTAGTGCGATATGGTTGATATTACTCTATTAAGAAATGCCTGCTTCCCATCATCTAATGGATTAAACTCGTTGATAGATAAGGTACCAATTTATAATGTGTAAAATTAATTAATTTTAATTTACACATGAATATTGTTCCCAAACGCATATGAGCCTCAATTGAAATCACTTAGAGATCGTTATATATACAAATGAGGTTGGTGGGCTTTATATAAAAGTCTGTCTGTTTACCACATATCTTCTTGTCGACTAGTCCCGACTAGAACACGATTTTTTGCAAATTATGGATTTTTTTCAAAAATTAAAATTTAATTGAGGCCTCCAGAAATCCTCAAGGTATTTATCAAGCTCAACATGCACAGCCTGTGCATTAATTTTGCAACACACACATACCTATACATATATAAATGTTTGTCTGTATGCACAAATGGCGTAAACCTATATAAGTTAAGTACATACATCTTAAAAGTATTATAGGGACTTAGTCGTTGTAGTTAACCTGTTTGAATTACAGCTGCCGTACTAATGCGGGTAGCTAAAATTCGCAATAACATTACAACTAATTTCGGTAGCTAGTGTGGTGTTCTGCTCTGTGTTGCTGTCCGCCTTCAGCATTAGATACTGCTTATATTATAT